AGAGAGAAACTTAAAGCAATCCCACTGAAATCAGGGACAAGACAAGGCTGCCCACTCTCTTCATATCTCTTCAACATAGTTCTGGAAGTCCTTGCCAGAGCAATAAGACAGTTGAAGGAGATCAAGGGGATACAAATTGGAAAGGAAGAAGTCAAATTATCACTATTTGCAGATGATATGATAGTATACATGAGTGACTCCAAAAACTCTACCACAGAACTCCTACAGCTGATAAACATCTTCAGCAAAGTGGCCGGGTACAAACTTAACTAAAAAAAAATCAGTAGCCCTCCTGTATACAAAAGACAAAAGGGCTGAGAAAGAAATTAGGGAAACAACACCCTTCACTATATCCACAAATGACATAAAGTACCTTGGTGTAACCCTAACCAAGCAAGTCAAAGACTTGTATGAAAAAAATTTCAAGTCTCTGAAGAAAGAATTAGAAGAAGATATGAGAAGATGGAAAGATCTCCCATGCTCATGGCTTGGCAGGATTAACATAGTAAAAATGGCCATCTTACCAAAAGCAATCTACAGATCTAATGCAATTCCCATCAAATTACCAACACAATTCTTTACAGACCTGGAAAGAAAAATTCTCAACTTCATATGGATTAATAAGAAACCTAGAATTGCTAAAACAATCCTCTACAATAAAAGATCTTCTGGAGGTATCTCCATCCCTGATCTCAAGCTGTACTATAGAGCAACAGTTATAAAAACTGCATGGTACTGGCATAGAAACAGAATGGTGGATCAATGGAACCGAAGAGAAGACTCAGAAATAAACCTACACACTTATGGACACCTGATCTTTGACAAAGATGCCAAACCATACAATGGAAAAAAGATAGCATCTTCAACAAATGGTACTGGTCTAACTGGACGTCTACATGTAGAAAAATGCAAATAGATCCATACTTATCACCCTGCACAAAACTGAAGTCCAAGTGGATCAAAGACCTCAACATAAAACCAGACACATTAAATCAGCTAGAAAAAAAAAAGTGGGGAATACCCTAGAACTCATTGGTACAGGAGAAAACTTCCTGAACAGAACACCAACAGCACAGGCTCTAAGAGCAACAATCAATAAATGGAACCTCATGAAACTGAAACGCTTCTGTAAAGCAAAGGACACTGTCATCAAAACAAAACGACTGCCTTTACATATTAGGAAAGAATCTTCACCAACTCTTTATCTGACAGAGGACTCATATCCATTATATATAAAGAACTAAAGAAGCTGAAAAGCAGCAAACCAAGTAATCCAATTAAAAAATGGGGAACAGAGCTAAACAGAGAACTCTCTGTAGAGGAATATTGAATGGCAGAGAAACACTTAAAGAAATGCTCAACCTCATTAGCCATCAGGGAAATGCAAATCAAAACAACCCTGAGATTTCACCTTACACCCATCAGAATTGCCAAGATAAAAACTCGAGTGACAACGCATGCTGGAGAGGCTATGGAGAAAGGGGAACCCTCCTCCACTGCTGGTGAGAATGTAAACTGGTACAACCACTCTGGAAATCAATCTGGTGCTTTCTCAGACAACTAGGAATAGTGCTTCCTCAAGATCCAGCCATACCACTCCTAGGCATATATCCAAAAGAAGCTCAAGTACACAATAAGGACATTTGCTCAACCATGTTTATAGCAGCTTTATTTGTAATAGCCAGAAGCTGGACACAGTCCAGATGCTCCTCAACTGAAGAATGGATGCAGAAATTGTGGTACATCTACACAATGGAGTATTACTCAGCAATGAAAAATAAGGAAATCATGAAATTTGCAGGTAAATGGTGGGACCTGGAAAGGATCATCCTGCGAAAGACACATACGGTATATACTCACTCATATAGACATGTAATATAGGATAAACCTACTAAAATCTGTACATCTAAAGAAACTAATCAAGAGAGAGGACTCTGACTAAAATGCTCAATCATCATCCCGAAAGGCAAAGAGAAAGGACTTCAGAAGAAGAAGAAAACAGGAAACAAGCTAGAAAACCACTATGGAGGGCCTCTGAAAGGTTCTGCCCTGCAGATTATCAAAGCAGATGCTGAGACTCATGGCCAACTGTTGGGCAATGTGCATGGAATCTTATGTAAGAAGTGGGAAACAGTAAGATCTGGAGAGGACAGGAACTCCACAAGGAGAACAACAGATCCAGAAACTTGAACACAGAGGTCTTTTCAGAGACTCATACTCCAACCAAGTACCAGGCATGGAGATAACCTAGAACCCCTGCACAGATGTAGCCCATGGCAGTTTAGTGTCCAAGTGGGTTCCATAGTAATGGGAAGAGGGACTGCCTCTGACATAATCTGATTGGCCTGCTCTTTGATCACCTCCCCCTGAGGGGGGAGCCGCCTTACCAGGCCACAGAAGATGACAATGCAGCCACTCCTGATGAGATCTGATAGACTAAGATCAGAAGGAAGGAGAGGAGGACCTCCCCTATCAGTGGACTTGGGGAGGGGCATGTGTGAAAGAAGGGGTGGGAGGGTTGGGTGGGGAGGGGAGGAGGGAGGGGCTTATGGGGGGATACAAAGTAAATAAAGTGTAATTAATAAAAATTTTAAAAAAGCAAAAAAAATATAGGTGGTGTCCTAGAAGGAGACTTTTGGGTCACTGAAGGAATTCATTTGAAGGGTGTGCAGAAATCTGGGGTTTTCCCTCTTTCATTTGTTTCCCAGCCACCAGGTGAGCAGATTCAATCCTCTGTGCCTCAAACTCAAAAGCAATGGGGCCAACAAGGAAGGGACTAGAACCTCCAATTCTATGACCCCAACACTTTATCATTATCATTTATTTAACTAATTCTGTGGTGGTGGTAGAACTAGGATGTGACTTATGCAAGGCAAGCAGTATAAAACTGAAGTACACTTCAGCTGGACCTTCTCTTCTCAGTTGGGTTATTGCCGGTGTTTGCCGTAGTGCGGGGAAGCTAGCATACACAAGAGGCACAGCCCACCAATGTCTTTCTTGCAGATATGAAAACCAGAGCTCCAAAAGACTCAGTGATGTTGCCACGGTTGCAAAATAGACAATGGCAAAAAGAATGCGCCCCTTCTGGTACTTCTTCAAGAGGAGGGGGAATGATGCCTCAAAACGTTACTCGGGAGCCAGCCAGCATTAGGAGGAAATGCTGCTGGGCTGAGAAACCTGGAGTCTAAGCTGAGCTCTCAGTCACCAGACTAAAAATGCTTTTCTTTCTTTTTCCCTCCATGTTTCTGTGTGTGTGTGTGTGTGTGTGTGTGTATGTGTGTTTCCTTAGTAAAATGAATTATCCTGCCTCATTCCAAAAGCCATTATGCGAGTTAGATAACATCACTCAGCCAACAATTCTAGTAGCTAGTCAGTATATAGAAGCATAGAAAGTTTCCAGAGTGGTGCTCAACACTTAGCCTGTATCTGTCTGACTGGCCTGGACACATCACCACTCATGCACATAATCTTGTACACAAGTGAAAGCAAACAGATATGCTATGTGCATACTAAAAAACTCTTCCCTATTTTCTGTGGAGTCCTCATTTGTTGCTCAGCCTTAAAGCAACATTGTAGGAGATCAATAGCTTCTGTGTCCCGGGACTGTAAGGATCTTCTGTACTTGCCATAGCTTTAGGGCTGGAATACAAGTGAAAAATATAGACCAGGCTTCTCTTTTCATGAAGCTGATTTTCTAGTCCATGAAGATGGACAGTAGGTGAGCAGAGAGTTAAGGACTATCAGATGAGGTTAAAGTCCTCTGCCTACATTCGAGTTTTGAGTTGTACAACAGGGCTTAGTGCAGGCACTCGCGGCGACTCCCGAGGTGGCTACGTGTCCCACGCCTGGAACGTAGGAGAGAGTAAATGTAGCACGAACATGGGCAGAGCGCCCCGGCTGCATTGTCAGATTCCATGGTGGGTTGACTTTACAAGCTGGCTGTATTGCAGAAAGGAACCAATCATGCAAGCATCTGGAGGAGACAGTGCTCAGTGATGGAAATGGTGGATGCCAAGACCAGAAGAAATGGTCTACCTCACAAAAGAGGCATCAGAGCCGCAGGTATGGGCCAAGGCGCCAAGGAGCCCTGAGCTGATAGTTTGCCAGGCCCTGTCACAAAGAGCCTGGTGGGTTGAATGTGCTACAAGTTGCATTTGATGTCCAAAAGGGTTCCAACCATGGGAACCTCCTCTACCAGGAACTTGTTTTTGACATAAGTCTGTAATCCACCTGCCTCTTGGGACTGCTAGCTAAATATCTTTTATGAATTACCCATACTCAAACACGGTTACTGTAGACAGCACCCCGGGAAAGTGGAGAGAAGAGGGCCAAGGATGATGCTTGGGAGATGCAAATATTTGTAAGTCTGCAGGGAAGCTGGCCAAGCTGAATGGCAGCCAGAGTGGCTCAAAGGCTGGACAAGGCAGAGACATGGCATCCCTATAGATAAAGGGAATCCACAGCCATCTCCGGTGTTGCTAAGAGATCAAGGGCACTGGACCAATGACCTTCGGATTTGCCAGCATGGGGTCAGGGAGGGGACTAGTCAAGAGGTTCTAGGGATAAGGAAATAGAGGGGTGTGGCACCTAGCCACAAGCGCAGCCCAGAAGGGATGGTGGCGGGCCCTTTTCTAAAGATAGAAGGGCGTGCCACTGTTCATCTTGCAGAGCTGCAAATTCTGGAGAGGTGCCGGATGAGTCGCGTGGCAAAGTGGGCCAAGGAGCCACAAGCAATGAGCTGCCATCTCTTAACGAATCCCCGCGCTGGGGTCTCGCACTACCAGCAGGCGACGCTTTCCCTCAGTTACAGCTCAGCCGGGCACCCGCACCGCCACTCCAGCTCCTGGCAGACCGCGCCCTCACTAGCCTAGTCACCCTTCCCCACCCAAGAGCGGCCTAGGTGTACGTGGCTCTGGCCTCTGCGCAGGCTCCACACGGACGGGCGGGGCAAGGCGGGGCGGCCCGCAGGGGGCGTGGCCTGCCACGCAGCCGCCCGGAGCCACGCCCCCCGGCCCTGGGCGGTAGTGCGCGTTCCCGAGCGAGCGGCGCGCTCCTCGCGTCTTCCCTCCCGAGACCTCGAACGCGCGCAGCCGCCCACCCCGCCGCTGCCGTCGCCCCTCCGAAGGCCAGCGGCGCCATGTCTTCGCCTCCAGAAGGAAAGCTGGAGACCAAAGCCGGACACCCGCCCGCCGGTACTGACTGCTTTGCACTTTGTCTCGGGGCGCCGGTTGGGGGCGGGGCAGCATCGGGGTCCCCTGGCCCTGTACCTGTGCGACGCGCAGGCGCGCAGGTGAGCGGGGCGCGGGACACGTAGCCACCTCGGGAGTCGCCGCGAGTGCCCGCACTAAGCCCTGATGTACAACTCAAAACTCGAACGTAGGCAGTTTCTGTAAGGTTGCACAGATGTTTGGGGGAGCCCCCAACAATTAAAAGGCAGTGTTGTACCATGATTAATAGCGGGCTGACAGCATTTCACACTGACAGACAAAAGGAGCGGAAATAATGCTGATCATTAATCACCCGGCATGACTTCCTTTACTCATTTTCTTTTCGCATCCTGCCCTCTCTGGAAAGTGGCTAAAACAGTGTTTTTAAAGCAAACGCTCAACTTCTAAGCTACGGCCGTTAAGTCCAGTGAAGAGCCACCTTTCTTGGGAAATGGCAAGGAACCTTTGTGTGCCTTGAGCAGCCGCCTCCACTCAGTTCCTGTTTGTTCCTCCCTGGCGGCCACGCTGAAAGAGTTGGCATTTCTACTGCCCTTTCAGGTGGCAGCGATGCCCGTGGAAGGCCGCGGGTCCCAGCAGCCAAGTCTCCGTAAAGCTCCTCCAGGTCTTGCTTGACTGCACATGCTGGTGGAATAAAACCAGGGCTTCTTGCAGCAAACCTTAGAGGACTGTGTATGGTGGGAACACATCTGTGTCATCTTTCTGTAGTAAAAACTGACGTTCTTTAGCTGCTGGCCCCACTGGAGGACAGGAGTTACGTTACAGGGGAAGGAGAGGAAAGGTCCTTCAAATAGGCTGCATTCCAAAACCTGTTCACCATGACAGCACTTCTCAACTAACCTCACTAGGGTAGGAGTTAGAAAAGAGTCCCACTATGGTGGAAACAGCTATGGCAGCCTTTGGTGTTTGGTGTGGGATACCATGATAGCGTATGTAAGGCACTGGGTCCTCACTTGTAACAAAGCAAAGCAACCCTTGGAAAGATTTCCTTTAAGATCCTGGTTCCTGCCCCTAACCAAATCTATCTGCAATTGGTAGCGGCTTGCAAAGGAAAAAAATCTTTCATTCTCCAGTGGAGTCTCCTTGAGTATGTTAAACCACACATCAGGGTAGGTAGGCCCTGTGCCTTCTAGGTAGATGGCCAATGCAAAAAGAACTCTGGTATTTTTCTAGACTTCCTGTCTCGTGTTGCTTTGGGTATTTTTTTGTTTTATTAGTCTATTGTTTGTATATTTTGGTTTCTGATTTTGTGGGTTTGTGGAGTGTGTGTGTGTGTGTGTGTGTGTGTTTCTTTGTTGTTTAAAAAGAGAAAAAACATGAAGTACAGTGAGTAGGGAAGTGGGAGGACTTGGGGGAAAGGAAAAGTATAGTCAGACTATGCTATGTGAAAAAAAATTCCTTTAAAAAAGGGCAAACAAAACAAAGCCAAAAACAAAAACATTTCCTTTAAGGAAAACCTTGGCATTAAAGGACTGGTGTTGAGTGTGCCTGCCTGTAGCCCTGCACTGCTTGGTGTGGCCCACAGTCAGGGCACCCGCAGAGACCATGGTCTGATGCTATTGGTTGTCCCAAGGTGAGTTCCTTAGTGTGTGCTGTTTGAGACATTGTCTCAATATAGCAGTAATTCAATTCCATGTAGATACTATCCATATGGACATCTGAGGATCAGAGGAAGAAAAGCACACATGGGAGAAATTTCACTTGAGAGGTCAGATTTTCTTTGGTTTAAAAAGAGGCTTTTGAATTAGAAGTGAAATGCCATGTTTGTGCCTATAGCGAGAACCACCTTGTCTGAGTCTGTGTAGCAGTGAACCTGGGCTCCAGGTTTAGAGTTTTGAGGCACACCATTGCACTTCTCTGAGACTCTGGGTCTCCTCACCTGAAATTAGAGGCTGGACCAGATGGTCTTTCTCTGGGCTAGCTACTAGTGAGGCTTTGGGGCTCTTGCTCCATTGCCTGTGTTTTTCCTCTAGTTAATTAAACAGATTAAAGTCAGGTGATCTTAAGGCAAGCCCTTTAGCTTATCTAACCCAAAAGTCCAGCAGGTGTGTAGCTGTCAGTGTCACATGCCACATGTCCCAAGGCCAGCTGAAGACTTGTGAGCCCAGAGGGAAGGTGGGAAGGTGCCACAACCAGAAGGCTGTGGTTCTCAGCAGGGTCCCAAGTGAGCGTGTTTCTTCCTATCCACAGAAGATCCTGGGCACAGCCTTTGTGGCAGGAAGGCCACCATGTGCTGTTTTTGTCTGGCATGACCAGGGAGCAGTGGTTGCTACAGAATAACTATTTTTAGAAAGAAGAAAGGGCCACCCACTAGTAAAGAATGGTAAAGGACTGCGAAGAACACAGTTTATAAGTCAAAAATGACTGCCTTAAACACTTTGGGAATGCTTTCGTTAACTGCTTAAATTGTGTAACACACTTGTGCTTAAATCTTTCATTGGAAATAATAAAATTCTCTTACCATGACTCTTTTGCTGTCCTCTCTTGTCTTTTCTCTTTAATGACCCCCTAATCCCTACAGTGCCCCCATCTTCCTCATTGCATCTACCTCCTACTGTCTCCTACTCTGCTCCTGGCTTCCAGGTTTACTAACATCATTTTGGGGTGGGGAGGAGGAAGAGGTGGTGACTGGCATAGCGCCTGTAACACAGTGGACACTCAGTAAATAACTTCAGGAAAATTTCTTCAGGACATGCCCCCACCTCACTCCCTAAGAGCATGCCTGCGGCCTTCCTGTCTCTCTCATTCGCACAGGCAGCTGAAAGGTGGAGATTCAGCATGGAGGAAACAGTAACTAAAGTCTGGATAGTGCTACCACATACCAGCATTACATAAGTGCACTGTTCATTACCATGGCCCATGGTCAAGATACTGTGGGCAGTGCCACTTAAATCATTGGCAGGGCTACTTGGGGTGACGTGTTAACCTCCAAGAGCTAACTATTGGGGACTGGCCTGCCCTGAACCTCAGCAGCCCTACAGTATTCACCGATGCCACACCCAAGCTGCAAGATTTATTGGGGTGGTCCTCAAAAGGAGACTGGATGGACTGTGCTGCCCAGAGACCTTCCTGCGATAGACGGCACTTCACTGTACGGTGCACACATCTCCCTAGAAGCCAGCCAGTTCGTCCTGACGGTAGCCCACCCTGATATTCATTTCGCTGCTCTTACTGAGGGAGCAGAATATTAAGAAGCTGCTTTCAGTTCTATGAGCAGCCATGGCCTTCCCAGCAGCCCAGTCCTCACGTGAACTGGATGAAGATTTGCTTGGCAAATACATGTTTCAGACTGATAGCCCCACCACAAGCACCCATTTCCCAGGGGAGCCAAAACTGTAAGTTAAGGCTCATAATGTGATCCCATTGAGTGTTGCCGATTTTAGTTAGGGTTCCCCCAAAAGTTGTTCTTTCATCCCCGCTGCAGAGCCAAGGCAAATGAAAAGATAAACGTGACTGTTCATGTCAAGCACAGCGGGAAATAGACCAGTTGCTATTTTCAGCAACACAGATAATTCACCTCTATTACATTAATCATTCAGATATGGCTTTGGAATACGTTAAAGCCTGGGAATGATAATTGACCCTGATAATCTTTCTTTTTGGATTATCCAATGGTGTTCTGTTGCTAGAAATGGAAAGTGAATCTCCCTTTCATTGTGTTGAGCATCCTGCATATATGTAAGCTGCTTCCCATGTTTAGCTAGTGAACCCAGCCATTGACCACAGCTTGAAGGGAGCAAGAGCCCTCTGCTTTCACACCCAGCATGCCAAGGGGCAGAAGACCCTTTAGTGGCTGGTTTCTCTTAGCTTCCATCAGGCTTGACCTAGTATTTCTAATATAGTTATAGATGCTACCTCTGCTCTTTGACATCACTGTCTATCTTCCTCTTCGGGAAACCTTCTGAGTTTGTCCTCTTTTTTTCAGCCAATGTCCTATGTCCTGAGATGGGTTGGTGGCTGTCTGCCATTCCTACCTACATCAGACATCTTTCATTTACATAGGGAATAGTCACTTTTGTAAAACAGTCTTGTTAGGTATAACAAATGAGCTGGAGAAATTGAACTTTCCTTTTCTCCTGTTGAACCGGCAGTGAGCAGCGTAGTCTCAGACACTCCCTAACCCAGGATGCTGCCTGAGAGGATGAGTGTGAGTAGACATATCAGGTCTCTGGCGCAGCCCATGAGAGACTGTGTTAGTGTCGCTGTGTTAGTGTCACTGGCTACTACAGGTAATTGCAGTAAACTTAGTGGTTCCAAAGCCATTATGACCTGAAAGTCACTAGACAAATGATCACATTTATTTAAAGTCAAGTGGGAGGTAGTGCTCTTTGCTCTTTTTAGTTATGCCACTTTGCTTTTTTATTTGTTTCAGTCGATGCAAAATAATTCAGTTCTTTCTTCTGGCACAATCTGGAAAAGTCCAAAATAGGTATCGCAATGCTAAAGTCACAGTGAGAGCAGGGAGGCTCTGGGGGCTCTGGGGAGAGCCTTCTTTCTGGACCTTCTCATGTTAAGTTTGCCCACATGCCTCTTCCTCCATTTTCAGTGCCAGCAATGACTACCTATGTCTGCCCCCATACTCACTGTTACCTGACTCTTCAATGTTTTCTTCTTTTTTCACATTTGAAGACCTTTCTGATTACATGGTCCACTAGGGTAATCAAGAGTAATCTTAAATTCAGATGATTACCATTCTGATTCCATCTGCAACCTTAATTCTCCTTACCATAGAACACAGTTGTAAGCTCTGGGGGGTGGGGATATTATCCTGACCCCAGTTACTTTTCTCTGTTCTCTTGGCTGTGACCCAGATAAATTGCCTTGACCCAGTTGCAGCAGAGTCCAGAGTCCAGCATCAGCCAACACCAGCCCCCGCCTCTGGGATTTCCAATAACAGCTTTCTCCCCAGTACCTCCTGGCAGCGTTTCCTGCCTCCTCGTTCCAGGCTTTTTTTCGGACTCACAGGG